CAGCAGGGGCTACAGATTTGGAGCCGGCGGTTGTTGCGGAAGGACCCGGGGTGTTAGCTTCTGCGTTGGGGAGGGTCCAGAAGGAAGGTTATCCCCGGTGCAGAGGAGAGGCCATTGGGGGAGGCCTTCCTGGTCTGCTAATGAGGTCCAGGCCGCCACAAGACTTAGAAATCCTCTGCTTCCGGGGTTCCAACCCTTTGGCTGCTGTCTGATTTTTGTATTTTGAGGTCCTCTTCAGAATTGTAGCAGGGCAAAGATTGACACTCCAATAGGTTAAATTTAGCTACACATCCACCTTAGTTGAAGAAACTTCCCGGGAGCAAGTTGTGGAACAGGTGTTCGTCCTAAGAATCAGGTAGAGCACTGGCTTTGCAGCTGTTACCTATTCTGTGCCAGTTCTGTTCAGCGGGCTTTATTCTGAGCATCAAGTTGCATCTACATTTTTCTTTTTTTAAGTTTTGTTAACTGCGAATGTCACATGCTTTCTCACCTGCTTCAGTCATTTAGACACCAGGAGTATTCAGGATGCGCAGTTCACCATGTGCTGAAGGGTGATGGTGCCCAGTGGCTTGGGGGCCGTACAGCTGCTTTGAACACTCCTCTTTCTGCTGTATCTTTACTTAGATCTGACGTCTCTTCCAGATAACTTGAAATAATTAGTGGAAAGGTGCTTATTTTAGCAATAGTTATTACAGGTCTGCCCTTTATCATTTGAGAGTTTCAGTATGAGATGTCGTTAGGTGACTACGTTGTTATACAAATGCATCCACCTGGAGATTATTCATTGCATGATTCTAGGATTGGAAATAACAGTAGAGAGGACCTGGTCCAGCTCCTCTTCATCTTATAGATAAGGAGATTGACACCTGGTGAGATAAGATTTGCCCAAGGTCCCTGAGATCAGGCTAGAAATTTGGTGTTTTAACTGTTAAATCTTTTTTTTTTTCCTTTCCATTTGGTAGGAATCAGAGATAGAGAATAGATTTAGCATGTTTGTAGAGAGATTGAGTACCAACTCCCTGTGGGCCTGTTAACTTTGTTCAATCCTATGGTCTCAGCTTTATGAGCTGTTCTCTGAAAGTATCTTCATGTGCACTTTTCTAAAGGTGGTCAGCAGTGTTCAGTTATTACAGGAGGGAGAAAAATATCCTCACATTTACATGGGTATAAATATCAAATGGACCAACTAAAGAGGGGTTGGCCACTGACTTTGCCGGCTGTCGGTGTCAGGTCTTGGAGCCTCCAGAGTTTATGTGGATGAATAAAGTCCTATTAAGGTACTTCTTTTTCCTGATTTAAATTGAGAGTTTATCCAGGAGGTATTGTGTATATGTTAAGAACATGGGTTTGCCATCATGCAGACCTGAGTTTCAGTCCTACCTTTGGGGTTAGGCAAGTTACTTATCTACTTTGGTCCTGGGTTTTCCTGTCTGTAATAGATGTAATACCCCTGTCTTGCATGCTTGTAAGGATTGAATGAGGTATACAAAAGGCCTGGCACTTAATATACCCTCGTTAAGTAATGTAGTGTTACCGTCTGGACTTTACTAGTCTATGTGGATTTTCATTGAATTTTCTTTTGTGAAGAAACAACAAAGAATTAATTGCTAAAACAGAACTCTACAGTATTAAATAAATTGTGTTATAGTAGATTATTGGCCTGGGAAGTCTAAATTACGGACTCTGATGTGTTGATCATTTAATCTTTGAGTCTCATTTTGTTTGTGTGTAAAATGAAGGTATAAGAAATTTTATAAATTTGGGAGTTACTGTAGAAGCATTCTGAGTAGCGAGAGATCCTCCTAGAAAAGATCTGAAATTCAGAGGAGGATTCAGTGGTAGAAGGGCAGGCGAGCCGTTGAGCTGTAGTTAGGGTGTAAGAATAAGGTGTGAGAATGGATTTGAGATCCAGTATTCTGGGCCAGAATATTTTTTGACATCAATCAGATCCCTGGGATTTCTGCCTTTCTGTCTCAAGGCGTGACTGCATTTTTTTTGTCAAGGTTACCCGTGGAACATAAGCAATGGATTCCTTGGACCACATGCTGACGGACCCCTTGGAACTGGGCCCGTGTGGGGATGGCCATGGCACGCGGATCATGGAGGACTGCCTCCTGGGGGGCACCAGGGTGAGCCTGCCGGAGGACCTTCTGGAGGATGTGAGTAGTGACGTCGACACTTTTCCTCTCTAACTGTTGTTCTTAGCCTTTTCCACACTTGGCAAGTTTTCAGTCCTTTGTACTCCCTTCTGTTTAATTTTCTACATTGTAGCCCAAATGATCACTCTTTTTTTTTTTTCAAAGTGTAGAGTCTATTTAATAGTCTGACTAAGAAAGAAAGTGTAAGCTACATCCTGTTGTATGTTTAATAACATGTTAACTTGATAATGGGGCATAAGGCAATATTTTAATAGGATGATTTTCAGCAATTAACAAGAAGTTTTATACTTAAGGGCAGAATTATATATATGTTTACCTTAGAATGCTCACTTATGTTGCAAATCAGGAAACAAAGCCCAAACATATTATCTCTGTCCATAAGATAAGCAGCCGTCTAGTCAGTTAATAGTATGGGCCCTGGGATAGTGTATCACTGTGCTTTTGACCATGGCAGACAGCTGTGCGGGCATCATTATTATTAAGGTGGCTGTCGTTAATAGGTGCTTATTATGTACAAGGCACTGGGTATGCTAAATCCTGTATTTGTTATTTTTTTTTGGAAGGGGAGGTAATTAGGTTTATTTATTTATTTTAATGGAGGTACGGGGTGTTGAACTCAGAACCTCATGTATGCTAAGCACACACTCTACCACTGAGCTATACTCTCCCCCTAAATCTTGCATTAATTTATTTTTAAAAAATTTTTTGGGAGGGGAGGTAATTAGATTTATTTATTTATTTTTAATGGAGATACTGGGGATTGAACCCAGGACCTTGTGCATGCTAGGCATGCACTCTACCACTGAGCTATACCCTCCCTCCCTAAATCGTGCATTTATTTATCTTATTTATTTGGCCGTAGTTCAAACATACAGATAGGTGTAGAGTATCATGCAGCAAACATCTGTGCATCTTTCAATTTTGGGTAATTTCATTTAGTCATAATTGGTTCAGGTTTGTCTTTCACGGTATGTTAAACATTGTAGATGAAATTTTGCCCTCATCTTAGTCTCTCTCCCACCTGAAGTAACAGCTACTGAAATTGGTATATAGCTTTCCCATCCATATTTTCTTTGCACACTCTTTCAAGTAAATCTCTGTATGTCATTCATTCAGTCAGTAAACACTTATTTAAGTCCCTACTTTGTGCCAGATAGTGAGATGCCAGGAATAAAGTCATGTGCAGAAATAGGTTTGCAGGGGAAGGTCTTGGATGAGCAGGGAGCCGGAGGTGCTTTGTTGCATGTGTGCTGCTGACAAGCCTGGTAGGTGGTTGGATTTCGGGGTTGTGTCCTGCTTAAACCCCTCAGTGTCCCCTCGGTGCCCTTAGGAGGAGTCACGAGTACTCAGCATGTGTGCAGCTCCCTTGCTCCTCCTCACCGTCTGCTGCTTCGCTTTCGCTCCCTGTCCTCGTGCTAGCCAAATGTTGCCTAGACTCTTCTTTTAATTAAAAATTGGAAGGTAGCACACATGAGAGTATATCAAATGCACATACATACAGCTTAAGCAGTAATGAAATACCCGTGTAGCCACCACTTGGTTTGAGAAGTAGGATGCCACTGGTACCGCTCAAGCCCCGGACCCCTCCCCGTCTCCTCCCCCTCCATTCCCCCCACAGGTGGTTGCTCTCCTTTGTTATGTGTTAATTCTTCTTCTCTTTTTATGGCTTTGCTCTGGATTTTTAACCCTCCTGCCTCAGCATGTTTTCCCCTTTCCTTATCCCTTGCTGTCTTAAATGTTACTCCGTCTGGAAGGTGTTCTCTGGGATGTGTGCCGCTCCTGTGTACTTACAGGTGAACTGCATTGTGACGGCTTGTTTAGCTGTCCTTCCTCCAGTCAGCCTGTGCGCTAGTGCGTCTGAGCCCTCGGCTCGCAGGTGTCCCGCACGTGATTGCTGAGAGTGAAGCGGTGTCGGTAAACTCAGCAGGTGTCCCCGGCTCCCCAGCTTCTCTCCTGCCGTGTCGACTTTTTCTGCCACTCATTTTAAGCTGAACCAAGGTGTCTCCATCTTAACCCTTGTCTGCAGAACTGGTTTCCACATGGACTTGTCTCTGCTGGGCTCATTTTCCTGTTGTTATTTACTGTCGAGGGTAAGAGTGTGGCTTACATGTAATCTTTACTAATCTCTTAAGTTTTGAGAGTTGAGTAAAGATGAACGGAATTTTAGTTTGTTTAAAAAAATGTGAAAACCTGAATGATAGTGACGGTTGTCCAACAGTGTGAGAGCGCTTAATGCCGCTGAACCAACCGTATGTGCAGTAATGGACAAAATGGTAAATTTTATGTCGTGTATGTTTTACCACTTATGTACAAAAAACTGAAAAACTTAAATTTTTTCTTATTTACTTTCCTCCTGCTTTTCCTGATCCTCCAGCCTGAGATATTCTTTGATGTGGTCAGTCTCTCAACGTGGCGGGAAGTCCTAAGTGACTGTCAGCGTGAGCACCTCCAGCAGTTTCTGCCCCACTTTCCCGAAGATGAAATCCAGCAGCAAAACCAGCTCATCCTCGCCCTGTTCAGTGGGGAGAACTTCCGCTTTGGGAACCCTCTGCACATTGCGCAGAAGCTTTTCCGAGGTGTGTAGCAGAGAATTCTCTTTTTGAGAGGGGTGGAGGGTGGGAACACACCCAGTTACGCTTTGTTCTCATGCACAGACACCGACCCGGAGCGGTTTCCGTGCAACACTTTGCTGCCTGGGCTGTTCTTTTTTTAATGAAAATGTTTAACTTATGCTGGAAACACATGAATCATAATTGTATTGTTCATTGATTTGTTATAATATGAACTCAACTGTGTAGCTACCACGCTGGCTTACCCTTTATTCTGCCGCATGTACATGTGTGTGTGTGTGATGCACATGCACACACTTCCTGCAGAAGTCCTGACCCTTAACCACCAAGCACTTCAGCAGGATGTATGTCCTAACGGGACATCCTTCCACATAACTGCAGTCTTGCTCTCACACCCAAGAAACTTTACATTGAACAAACAATATCCTGGAATACCCCATATTCAGATTTTCTCAATTGTTCCCAAATGTCATTTGTAGTTGGCTTTTAAATCCAGGATCCAGTCCAGTATAATGTATGTTTGGATCTCGTGTCTCGTAGCCCCATGAATCTAGGACCCTCTGCCTCTTTCCCTTGTCTTTCAAAATAGTGACATTTGTGATTTACAGAACATCCTGCTTTCTGAGGTATTCTTGCTGCTTCATTATTAGGTTTGGGTTAAATGTTTTGCCGTGAGTACAAGAGGGGAAATGTCATTTCCTTCCCACCCCACCTCAGGGGGCGTGCGGTGTCAGTCTTTGCATTGCTGGTTATGATGGTTTTGACCACCGGGCTATGTGGTGGCTTCCAGGCCTGCTGACGGCAGAGGTGCTTTTTTCCCTTTATAACTAAGAAGCAGTCTGTAGGATGATACCTAGAGGCCATGTGATAATCTTATTTCCCGAAAGCCTTTGTTTTACCCAGTGGTTTAGCTTCCACTGGTCCTTCCCTGAATTGGTTATTACGTCGGGGATTCCACAGTGGTTTGGGACCACTCTTTAAGTCACAGTTTGCTCTCTATCTTGTGGAGAGGAGCAGAGGAAGCCTCTTCGCCGGCCCCTTCCTGGAGTGACTGCTGTGGCAGGAGGCCCTGAAAGACAGCACATCTTGAGTTTTGTTAAACTGGATCACTTGGCAGCTGCAGGAGGACCGGAGGGAACAGGCTGTCTCAAACCCCATTACCTTAGGGCTTTGAAAGGGCATTTCCTCTTTTGGTGGGTTATTAAGGAGGATTCCCCTGGCCACTTTTCTTTCTTTTTCTTTTTTTTTTTAATAATACACCAAAAAAAGTTTTAATGGTCCCCAATATATATACGCAACAACTAAGCATACACTTGGGAGAAAAAAAAATCAAAACCAAAGTGAAACAAAAAAATTAGGACACAAATGACCACATCTAGAATCCCACTCCCTCTCTGGCCACTTGGCTGTCAGACGTCCCGTTTCCCTACAACAGGCGGCGTAACGTGGGTAGAAGTTGGGCTCTGGAGCTGGACCACCTGGGTTCAAACCTGGTTGCCCCTTCTATTAGCTGTGTGACCTTGGGCCAGCTACTTAAGTTCTCTGTGCCTTGGGCTGTGCACCTGTAAGATGGGCATGTGGAAGTGCTATCTTTATGGGCTGTGGGAGGATGAGGTGAGTTAATGACACACGGCCCTCACACAGTGCCAGCTGGTTGCCAGGTCCTGCTCTGGTGTTGGCTGTCACTGCTTACCTTGGAATGGTCACTTCTTTCTCTTATTCTTCAGTGACCCCTTCCCCCATGTAGCTTTTCACTCTTCACAGTCGTCCCAGGTTTTCCTCAGAGCACTCGGGAGAGTTGAGTCTCATTTTCGGGCTGGCTCGGGGGTTTCCTGTCTCTCCCGCTGGGCGGCAGGCTCCACGTGGACACGATCCCCCTGCCCCGCGCGCTGTGCTCTCGTCAGCACAGAGCTGACTGCGTTTCCAGGGCGCGTGACGTGTTTGTTGACAGCGTGTCCGCGGTGGCCTCTGCTCTTTCAGACGGACACTTCAACCCCGAGGTGGTCAAGTACCGGCAGCTGTGCTTCAAGTCTCAGTACAAGCGCTACCTGAGCTCCCAGCAGCAGTATTTCCACCGGCTGCTGCGGCAGATCCTGGCCTCGCGGAACGTGAGTGCAGCGGGGCGGGGGCTGTGCCCCGGTGGCGGGAGAGGCGGGGCGGGGCAGAACAGAAGAATGCCACCCGTGAGGCCCTGACACAGCTCAGTGTATCTGTCTTTCTAACGACCCGTTCTGAGATGTGTCCTGATTTTAGAGGTGAACGTGAGAAAAAAGACTACATCGTAAAATCGATGGAGTGTAGCTTCAGCGTTTACCAAGAAAGAGAGGCGGCTGCCAGCTCTGTGGTGGGTTGTGAGGGAGAACCAGGTCGCTCTGAGGCTGCCAGGGCAGGGTGGTGGGGGTGCCCGACGGGGACGAAGTGCACCAGGCTCGGCATCCCCGGATCTGGACCTGTCTTGGGATTCTTCGGGGCGAAGTTGTTCTGGATCTAAGTGGTTCTTTAAGCTTCTTTATGAAAATATTTGGGTGTCTGGTGTAGGTATTCATTCTTGATGGAGCAGTCCAACACGCAGATTTGGGATTTTTCGTCGTTTAATAATAACACAAACCCTTTGTCTTTGGACGTGTTCATGTGCGAGCCTCTTTCTTTGTGACGGAGAGGGAGTTGAGCTTGTGACACAGTGACGAGAACCAGGTGTAGACTTGGGAATGTGCCAGAGCAGGCTTTGGCTGAGGCCTGTCCGCTCTTCCAGGACCTCCTGGAGATGGCCCGGCGCAGTGGCCCCGCCCCGCCCTGCCGGCAGAAGCGCCCGTCGCCATCCCGCACACCCGAGGAGCGGGAGTGGCGCACCCAGCAGCGCTACTTGAAGGTGTTGCGGGAAGTAAAGGAGGAGTGCGGGGACACGGCCTTGTCGTCTGATGAAGAGGGTGAGTGTCCTTGGGCTCTGGTGGGCTGGGCACCCGTCCACACCCACAGCCTGTTGTCTGGTTGGAGCCAGTGGTAGTGTTTCCTCCCAGCAAGGAGGTGTCCCCGCGGTCTGTGGGTGGAGGGTCGGGGCTCAGCCCGGAGACACTCCCGTCAGGTGTCAGGTGGGGGCGCTCTCAGCAGGCTGTCTGGTCCCGCGGTGCCGCTTGAGGGACTGCTTTTCCCCTCACAGGAGAGGAGTAGTGCCTGTCGGCCCCGCAGTGCGGCCCCACCGCTCTTGAAGTCTCTCTTCCTGGAAGAGCCGTTTAAGTGACCTGAGTGCTCCAGCCGTCTGGGGAGGGTCAGGAAGGACGGGGGAGCCCAGCCTCCCTCTTGTTGGCTTAGCCTTCTTGAACCCAAATGGCCACTTACTCAGTCTCCCCTATTGGAGTCCACAGCCACGTTGGATTTACAAGAAAAATTTTCTTTTGAAGATCTCAGCTCATGGCTTCCGAGCTCTCCAGCACGCTCTCCTAGCCCCGCGGTGCCCCTGAGGGTGGTGCCCACACTCTGCACCACGGACATGAAAACCTCAGGTGAGCATGAGCTGCTGCCGTGGGTTCCTCCCGCCAGGGGAGCAGAGCGGGGTTCCTGAGAGTTAGGAGATTTGGAGCAGGTTTTGTGTGGTTCCACTTTTTCACAAGTAGCTAGGCCAGCCGGCCTTCCTGCCTTTGTTTTGAAATTTACCCCAGGAACTGATCAGCTGGCATTTTGGCCTAAAGAAAGCAGAATCCTCAGTCAAAATAACAATACTAAGAGACGATTCAGTAGTAGAACAGAAGGGGTACCAGAGCCAGAGCGGTTTCTTGGCATGTCTGTGGAATTAGAGAACGTTTTAATCAGGAGATGAATCAAAGGAGAGCATTAAGAAACTTGCAGGTGTTTTAGGAGTAGCTAAGGGTCGTCTCTGAGGTCACTGTTACTGACCAACGTACAGAAGAGCTGCAGAGTGAGCCTGTGGCTGTCAGTCCTTGCAGCACCGAGGTCAGAAGGGAAACTCAGGAAATACCTTACTTTTGAATATTGCAAGTGACCAGAAAGGTGTGAATTTGAGTGTTGTGGGAGTGAACAACCATTGTGTGGCTTGGTTCCTCTTCTCTCAGATAAGCTAGAGCTGGGGGAGAGTGACCTGAAGGTCATGCTGAGGAAGCACCACGAGAAACGGAAATACCAGCCGGTAAGACGGGGACTGGGGTCTGATCTCTCCAGATCTGGTATCCCCTTTCCTTATCCTTGGGGGCAGGAGCAGCATGGGAGGCCCGTTTCCATCAAGGATGTGAGGAGAAGACTGATGCTTTGATTGCATAGGGCGTCTTAGTGCGCCGTCGGGTCCGCTCTTTAGGACGGCGCTGCTGGGTGAGGCTCAGGGAGCTCGTCTCCAGCCCTGTGGCTGCTGAGCAGCAGAGCCAGGCGTCGGGCCTGGGTTCCTCCCGCTTGTTCCGTTCCTGCCCCGCCAGTCCACCACATCGAGGTGGCGCCAAGCCAGAGCATAGTGGAGGAGGAGAGGCAGGCAGTCGGTCCCCGGCGGAGTGGCGAGCTGGGAAGAGCCCCATGCTGGAGTTAGAACTGAGTTCTGTCTCTGTCCTTGCCACTTACTGTGATGTTGGGCAAATCCCTGATGCCTCTGAACCCCACTTTCAGTCTTTGTAAACCACACTGCTACTTAACCAGACAGAAGAGCATGTGAGGTGAGGGGTGCGGAAGAGCCTTGTCAGCTGTAAGTGCTGGGTGTGAGCAGTTGGAGCTGGGCTCTCCCTGCCCTGTTACGAGGAGCAAATAGTTCATAACTCTGTCCGTTTAAGTTCAGTATGATTTCCTCAAGTGCACCTGACGTCTCATTGTATCTGTTAGGTAAGTTGGCAAAATGATCAACAGTTGTAGCTCCTTTTCGGGGCCTCCGTGACGAATCTCACTCTCATGTCTAGGATCACCCGGATCTTTTGACGGGGGACCTGACTCTCAGTGACATCATGATGCGAGTCAATGCTGGCAGGAAGGGCTCTCTGGCAGGTAAATGGTGGCCTCCAGAGGAGGCCGTTGTCTGGCTGTGGTGTTGCATTACACCTGTTGGCACGTTGCAAAAAAAGATGAAACCAGTGCATCCTTCTCGCTGGTGACCTTTGTTTTGTTATTGCCTCTTATGGATTTATAGGTAGACAGTGAGTATAAAACCAGTACAACAGATCATTGAGTCTTTAAATCACTCATGGGGTTTGGTTTAAAATCAAAACAGAACAAAACTACATGTCTTCTTACTGAGATTTTTCTTTTACTTCTCAGCTTCGGCAAAATAATATGCAGATAATACTCATCGTTTCCTGGTGCAGAAAATGCAGTTCTGTGACTTGTGTTGCTTTTTTCTCTCCAGCCCTGTATGACTTGGCTGTCCTTAAAAAAAAGGTTAAGGAAAAAGAAGAAAGGAAGAAGAAAAAAATAAAAATGATCAAATCAGAGACAGAGGATCTGGCTGAACCCCTGAGCAGTGCTGAAGGGCTTCCACCCCTCTCCCAGGCTCCATCCCCACTGGCCATACCTGTTATCAAAGAGGAGTAAGTGAGCGACAGGGGTGACCAGTCAGGCATGCTCCCAGGGCTGGTGCTCACTGTGAGCTGGGCTGGGTTGACCCTGTGAGCCCTGAGTCCCAGGGGTCCTGGGGAAAGTGTATATTGTGGTCCTCTACTGAACTTTCTTATGACTGCTAGGAGGCTCGGAGGGCCTAAAGCAACCTGGGAGTGTCTTGGTCTTTTTGGTGGTTCTCAGATTTTTTCTTCCCTCGTTAGGCCTCTTGAAGACCTCAAGCCTTGCCTTGGAATCAATGAGATATCTTCCAGCTTCTTCTCTCTTCTGTTGGAGATCTTGCTACTGGAGGGGCAGACCAGTCTCCCTATGGTAAGCCTTTTTGGAAAAGTCAGGTATACATCGAAGTTCCAGGTTGTGGACATCTTCAGTGGTCTGTGGCTCGAGAAGCAGAGCTCTGGGTCCCCCCTGAGCTCTGCAGCAGACTGAGTCTGTGACCTGGGCACACTGGACGAACACAGCCAGCTTGTTCCGGCACAGCCGTGGGATGGCTGGTGTAGAGTAGAACTCTGACTGGCTTCTGCCTTCCCTTTCCCTCAGTTGGAGGAGCGAGTTTTGGACTGGCAGTCCTCTCCGGCCAGCTCCCTTAATAGCTGGTTCTCTGCGGCCCCCAACTGGGCAGAGTTGGTGCTACCAGCCCTGCAGTGTCTTGCTGGAGAAAGCCGTGGTAAGGTACTTCTTTCTGGGGAGTCAGTGCCCCTCCCCGCCCACCTCCCAGGCTAACAGATCCTCGTAGTAAGCTGGAGCTGGGCTGGTGAAATCATCCTGGCTTTGCAGGGTGCTGTCCTGAGAGCCATTAGCGTGGGGAGGTCGGAGCCGGGGTGTCTGTTGTTCTCAGTTTAGCGTTCTCTCGGACCTGCGCGGCTTGTTTATGGGCTCCGTTTCTTGCAGCTGTGCCTTCCGGTTTCTCTCCCTTTGTTGAATTCAAAGAGAAAACTCAGCAGTGGAAGTTGCTTGGTGAGTAATGCGTCACTACCTATAACAAATTTTCCTTCTGTTTCCTCCCCTGAGCTGCTTGTGCCTTCCAATCAGTACAGACCAGGTGAATGTTGAATAGGGCGGTAGTAACCCTTGTTTTGCTCAGTAAAAGAATCCTTCAGGACCCCTTTGGGACTCACAAGGTCTGCATTCACCCCATCGGGTGTGGCTGCGGTGGCCTTGCCCTTCGCTGTGATGCCCGCTGGGGCTGGTGGAGTCGAAACCTGCAGAGGTGTTCTACAGCAGCTCCTGCGTTTCCGTCAGCCATGTCTACGGTTTTAGATTAACTTGTAGCAAAGAAATTATTTTCCTTCCTAAGGTGGGCTTTGCTACTGAGGACGATGTGTTGGGCAGCCCCGAGTAAGCTGTTTCTGAAGAACAGGCTCCCTTTGTTGCAAATGTGGGAAGTCCCACATGCAGTGTAAGTTGTGGTGACGTGTGCCTGAAATTTGGTGACCATTACCTGGGCGGGGGGTGATCAGAGGAAGACGCAGTGTTGGTCTCCTGGGGAAGCGCACATGCCTGTCCAGTGTCTGTGAGGAAAGCAGAAGGTTCATTCATTCTTTGCAGTGCGTATTCAGCCTCTGGGTGTCAGGCACTGTGGTACATGCCGGGCATGTAATGGTTTATAAGTTAGACAGTGTGCTCCCCCCTTGGAGTTTAAGGTTTGTTTGGGGGACAAATACTCATTTAAATGAAATAAGCTTACACATTCTGTAAGGGAAAATGCTAGAAGGGGTGCATGTCTGTGATGAGGCATTGGTGTGTGCAGAGTCAGGGAGCCCTTTCCTGAGAAAGGTGATTTGAGCAGAGGTGTCAGCGGTGACCCGGGATGAGCTGGGTGGGGGGTCGGGAGCACTCCCCGTGGAGGGAGCAGTGTGGATTGGGGGTGCCAGGGAGACGGGGATTTAAGGTCACACAAGCTTGTGTAGAGATGATGCTAATCTGGACCCAGACAGGGAGAATGGGTGAATTTGGGAAAGATTTGGGTGGTGAGAGCCAGAGGACCGGGTTATGGATTGGACATGGTGAGTGAAGGAGGAGGGCTGACAGGCATCACTTCTGCTAGATTGGTATGTGGTAGGCAGGGGTCCTGCCAGCAGTATAGGTGGCCTTGGAGGACGTCCAGGCTTGGGTGAGGGGGACAGTCATGAGTGTGGTTTTGGACAAGCTGCCTTTGAAGTACTGAGGTGGAGAAGCTCACTAGGCAGTGGGATGGGTGGGTTGAGGGTCCAGACCAGAGGGTCAGGATGGAGAGCTGTGGGCACACACCGAGTGCTTGGAGCCAGAAGCCTGGGGGGAAAGTGTTAGAAGAGGGCCTCGGACTAAACCTTGAGAAGCTCCGCAGTGGAGGAGGCGGAGTGAGGACACGTGGAGAGGCAGTGACTGCGGAGTCAGGAGGTAGGGAGTGGTCACTGGCCTTGACTGTTCCTGGAAAGTTTAGGAAGATAAAGACGGGGTTTGTGGACATGGAAGAAGTGATGAGTATTTTGGAGGAGTCATTCGTTAGTGGGGTGACGAGGGTTAGGTTGCTGGCAAGCTGATGGCCATTCGTGAGGCCAATTATAGTCCTTCTAGCCACCTGGCTGGTGACTGGAAATCAGCCCTGGAGGGGACTTCACGGGAGCAGCAGGCCTGCTGGGACCAGGTCGTAGTGTCTTCAGCTTGTGGGCCTGGAGCTTTTGGCTGCAGCCGCTCAGCTCTGCCCTGTGCAGCACAGCCACAGACAGTGTGAACCGGCGGCCATGCAGCTCTGTTTACAGAGCAGTTCGCTGACCTTCGCGTCCCCGGTGGAGACCTGTACACACATATCGGGGCCCCCTTTCCTGCAGCCACGTGAATGCTTCCCAGCACCCCCCGTTACAGAGCCAGTGAATCGACCACTTTCTAGCGGCTTAGCGGGGGAGGGGAGGGCAGGGAGGGGGACTGGTGGCCAAGAGAGGACTTTCTAAAATTTTATTATTTTTTTAAATTTCAACAATATTTTATTGTTTAATGGAAGTACTGGGGGTTGAACCCAGGACTGTATGTGTGCTAAGCATGCACTCTACCCCTGAGCTCTACCCTCCCCCACCACGAGAGGACTTTTTTTTAAAACTGAGAGAAACTTAGTGTGTGTCTAAGTGTTGATGGAGAGGATACGAAGCGGAGAAGGGAAAGTCAATCGTACAAATTCTGATGCCAGTGGGTCAGCCTCAGATGGCAGGAGGCGGCTCCTCTGTTTTCGTTGTAGGGGAGAGACTGGGTGCACAGCAGTGGGCTTGTAGGTTTTATTTGCGGGAAGTTTGAGGGGGTTTGGTCAGACGGCTTTTCTGTGTGAAGTGGGAGGGAGAGCAGCGATCTCAGCTGTGAGCGGGAAGGGAGGTTGACAAGAGTGGGGACAGTTGTTCTAGAGCGAGTGGGGAACCAGCTTGTCAGAGATGTGGTTAGCTCGCTGGGCAGACGGAGGGCCCGTGGGGGCTGCTCACACTCGTGTATAGAGGTGCCCTTTGCTTTCCTCTGGGTTTTCTTTCTGGCAGCCCTCAGCTGCCCGAGTTGAAACTTGGAGAAGGTGGATAGTGCGGAATTTGAGCTTCGCTCGAGGGCAGTGATGCAGATGGGAGAGAGGGGCCTTAGGGGTTACTGTGCCTATAGTTGAGATGGTGGGCGTGGACCCGGAGCTGAATTGGGGAAGGCGGGGCTGATGGGAGCAGGGAACTGGGGTGTTTGGACTGGCAGTTGAGACCGGGTAGCATGTCGATGGGAGAGGTAAACACGCAGCAAGCGGAGGGGAGGCTGTTGTGGCCGGAGAGCAGGATGTGTGAAGGTTCTTGGCCCTGGCTGTGTGCTGCAGCTGTTTGGGAAACTTCTCAAAAAATGCTGATGCCTGGACTTCACCCACAGGTTTTTCGATTTAACTGCCTGAGTAGGGCCCTGGCATTGTAAAATGTTTCTGGGTAATTCTCATGCACAGCTAGAGTTGAGAAACACTGGATTAGGCATTTTGAAGGTGGAGCAGCTTTGGGCAATGACAGAGTCCGGTTGTGGTTGTGGGAGTGAGTGGCTGGGGTGCAGCGGAGGGAGAGGGGCCCTGGGGTCACATGACTGAGCCTTGAGGATGCTGGGTGGATCGTGTTCCATGCGGACATTTCAGGTTAATTTTCGTGAGTGGTGTCACATGGGATCCCGAAACCCTTCTGCATGTGGACGCCCAGGTGGAGGGTAGTCTGTGCGCAGGACCATGGCTGCAGGTCCCGGCAGTTACAGCAAGTGAGGAGAAAGGGAATCTTACTATTTTTTGCCTTTTTGTTCTTTTAATAGGCCAGTCCCAAGATAATGAAAAGGAGTTAGCTGCACTCTTCCAGCTGTGGCTAGAAACCAAAGACCAGGCCTTCTGTAAGGTACAGTTTTCAGGAAATACCAGCTCTCTCTGTTGGGCTTCCAGAACCCTTGAGTTAGCCAGAATCCTTTAGTCCATCCACCTGTGACTGTTTTCCTTTTTCTCCAGCAAGAAAATGAAGACAGCTCAGATGCCACAATGCCTGTTCCTCGGGTGTGAGTATAATGCTGTGATGGGGGGTGGTCAGTGTGTCAGAGCTGTCATGGGCTTGGGAGGTGCCGGGGGTCCATGGACCCTTCCCTGCCTCAGCCTCCCCAGGGGGCAGCACACTCCCACCGGTAGAGTTGCCCGAGGGGTCTGCGAGGGGTGCCGTCCGCCTGTAGGTGCCTGCTTTTTCCCGAGCCCCTCCTCAGTTCCCGCTGGAGAATGGTTCATCCAGCCCATCTTTCTCATTTTCCCTGTGAAGTGGAGGCAGGAGTCTGGGTGACTCTCTGAAGGTTAGTGACAGGACCCAGGCAGGGTTCAGGTCCCCCAGCCTCTCTTCCTGGGCTCTGTGGGTCACCCCAGGTGATGATGTCCAGTCTGTCGTGGCCCCTTTCTCCCTCAGCGTTGTTGAGGTGGAATTGACCTGACATTGTGTGAGTCTAAGTGTGCAGTGTGTTGATTTTATACATGCACGTAGTGAGTTGATGGCCACAGTAAGGGTAGTTAGCACATCTGCCACATCACGTAATTATCAGGTTCTTTTCTTGCAGCGAGAACATGTAAGGTCTTTGTTAGCACCTTTCAGGTGTGTGATGCAGTATTGCTGACTGCAGTCACTATGCTGTGCATGAGGTCCCCAGGACTTTTTATAATTGGAAATCTGTACCCTTTGGCCAATATCTCCCCATTCCCCCCACCCCCAGCCCCTGGTAACTACCATTTTAGTCTCTGTTTCTGTGAGTCAGGATTTTTTAGATTTCACATGGAAGTGATACCATACAGTAATTGTCTTTCTATGGGATTTATCTCACTTAGCTTAATACCCTCTAGATCCATCCATGTTGTTTCAAATGTCAGGATTTCCTTCTTTTTTTATTGGCTGAGTAACACTCCACTGTGTGTGTGTGTGTGTGTGTGTACGTTTTCTTTGTCCATTTGTCCACTGATAGACCTCTGTCATGATTGTTCCCATGTCTTGGCTCTTATAAATAATACAGTGAACATGGGGGTACAGCTATCTCTTCAAGATAGTGATTTCCTTTGGAAATATTCCCAGAAGTAGGGTTGCCGGATTGTGTGGTGGTTTTGTTTTCGGTTTTCTGAGGACCCTCCATACTGCTTTCCAGAAATAGAAAAAACAGTTGTAAAAAGAGGGCACTCGTGTTGCAGAGGGAGCGGCTCTGGCTGCTGGAAGGGGTGATAGATCCAGAATTCTTTGTGTTCCAGAAGAACTGACTATGTGGTGCGGCCCAGCACAGGAGAGGAGAAGCGAGCTTTTCAGGAGCAGGTAAGAAAAAGCTGGAATCTGGTGTAAATCTCTGCATCTTTGAGGCCACGTGGAGAGCTCTGAGCCTGGCTGTCCTTGCGTCCAGATTCTTGGAGGACACTCACACCTTGACCTTAGCTGTTCTGTTGGGATTGTTTTGAGGGGGTAGTGATGGTGTGAGAAGGCAAATGAAAAAGGTTTTGATGCTTTTTCTTCCAGATACAAAACACACATTTACCGCTTGGTCCCTTTGCTAGTGACTGGCTTTTGGGGACCATCCTTTTCCCACTGTGGTCGGCTCGGTATTCCTCATGGAATAGCCTGTTTCCTTCCTGTTCTGAGGCCCCTTGCTGTTTGGAGGTTCTAGAGAGGACCCTCCTAATTCTGACTCGGGAGCCTTGCCCCTTCTCTTGCAGGAGCGTTACAGGTACAGCCAGCCCCACAAGGCCTTCACCTTCCGCATGCACGGCTTCGAGTCTGTGGTGGGGCCTGTGAAGGGCGTGTTCGACAAGGAGACCTCGCTCAACAAGGCGCGAGAACACTCCCTGCTGCGCTCCGACCGGCCCGCCTACGTCACCATCCTGTCCCTGGGTGCGTGCCTGCCTTCGGTCTGCTGTACCCCTAGTCCCTGGGCGTGCCCCCTGCCCCCATGGCAGAGGCTGGGAGGGTCAGTGCAGCTTGAGGAAGCTTTGGGGTTTGGGACACAGAGGGGCAGTTCTGCCTCCAGAGATGTGTGCCAGGAACCCGTGTTTCTTCCCTGGAGTCTGGGCCCAAGTTTATGTTCATTCAGGAGTTGTTCACAGGCTGCTGAACAGTTAGCGTAAGTATAGGAGTTTGCTTCCTCCAGACTAGGATTCCTTTAAAGAGGTTTTTAACCTTTTTTATGCCATGAATCTCTTAGGCAGTCTGGTGAAACCTCTGGACCCCTTCTCAGAATATCTTTCAATGCCTAAAATGCACAGAGTTGCAGAAGAAACTAGTCATACTGAAATTGTTATCAAAATATCCAAACAAATTTAGGTTGCAGAAATACGTGCGTTTTTGTTGCACTGTAAAGTGACAAGCCCTAGGAGCAGGTCTGATGGCTCCTGTGACCCCAGCCATCGTGAGTGGAAGTGAGACTTCGAGTTGCCTGCGGCTGTGCTAAGAAAATACCTAATTTCTGCTACGGCGTCGCAGCACTGCCAGTGTGTGTTTTGTTACCTTTGTTCCTAATTGAAGGAAATGCTAAATTTCAGTGAAAGTGGTCACTTTCTCCTGCCTGAGTTCCTGCACCCGCTGAATTCTCGGGGACCTTCAGCCTTGGCTGAGAGTGAAGGATGTGTGGGAGACTGTCCCCGGGGGCAGTGTCCGCCTGGTGCTGGGTCGGCGTTGGGCACGGAGGCCCTCCCTGGGGAGCCCTGCTGACCCTCGGCTTTGCGTTTTCCGGTGCCAGTCCGCGACGCCGCGGCCCGGCTGCCCAATGGCGAGGGCACACGGGCGGAGATCTGCGAGCTGCTCAAGGACTCCCAGTTCCTGGCGCCGGATGTCACTAGCACTCAGGTAGGAGCAGACAAGAGCTTGAGTTTTCTTCCAGGATGGACGTGAGGATGCTTACGGGGAAATAAAAGTAAAAGAACCTAAATTACATCAAACTGCCGGGGGAGGCGGAGGGAGGGCGTCTTGAGGAACGGGAGCAGCTCTGACCCTGACCTCGCTGTCGGCAGCGTTTCTCTTTCAGCTTCTGCTGGAGGTTGCCTGCTCACATCCTGGGGGTGACAGTGCCCCATCTCCTGGGCCTTGTAGTGTCTCGTTTTGCCAAGTGACAGGGTGACCGTGGGGGATGGGCCCTTTGTGTCAGCCCTGCCTCACACCCAGTGCTTTTCCTCTGGAATTCACGTCTGTCTTGCCCTCACCACCCTGCTCTGGGCTCCAGGTGAACACGGTGGTGAGCGGAGCCCTAGACCGGCTGCACTATGAGAAAGACCCGTGCGTGAAGTACGACATTGGGCGGAAGCTGTGGATCTACCTGCATCGCGACCGGAGCGAGGAGGAGTTCGGTGTGTGAGCTGCGGGCGATGTGCCCGCTAGACCAGGGCTGCCTCTGACTTGGTGACCCAGTTGCGTCCTTCTCGGTGGCATTTGGGCAGGACGTGATTGTAGCCCTGGCTCTTAGAGAAGCCACTCCTGACTGTGCTGAGGTTAAGCCTTTACTGAAGCTTCCACTTTTGTTTGCAGAGCGGATCCACCAGGCCCAAGCGGCTGCAGCTAAAGCCAGAAAAGCCCTTCAGCAAAAGCCCAAGCCCCCGTCCAAGGTGGTAGGTGCCTCCTGGGGCGATGGCGGCCGGACCTTCCCTTAACACAGTGTGGCAGGAACCGCGGGGGCCGAGCCGGCCCTTGTCCCACCTGCGTGTGAATCCCCTTCTCTTCCGCTCTCAGAAGTCCAGCAGCAAGGAGAGTTCGGTGAAGGTCCTCGGCGGTGGTCCTTCCGAGCAGAGCCAGATGAGCCTCAGTGACTCCAGCATGCCGCCCACCCCAGTCACGCCTGTGACCCCCACCACCCCCGCTTTGCCCGCCACCCCTATCTCCCCTCCACCTGTGTCCTCAGTGAACAAAAGCGGCCCGACTGCTGTCTCAGAGCCAGCCAAATCTAGTTCAGGGTAAGTGCTTCCGTTCCCCTCCAGCTTTCTCCCTCCAGAGTCCTGTGAGTCTGCCTCCTGAGTTGTCTGTCTCCTGCTTCTGCTTGGTGTTCCCCACAGGGTTCTTCTCGTATCTTCCCCGACGATGCCACAGCTGGGGACCATGCTTTCCCCAGCTTCCAGCCAGACTCCACCGAGTTCTCAGGCAGCTGCCCGGGTTGTGAGCCACACTGGCTCGGCTGGGCTCCCCCAGGTGCGGGTGGTGGCCCAGCCCGGCCTTCCCGCCGTGACCCAGCAGTCAGCGGGGCCGGCACCCACCCTGCCGCAGATTCGCGTTCCAGCCACTGCCACACAGACCAAAGTCGTGCCCCAGGTAAAGAGGGGCAGCGGGTGGGCCCAGGCTGGTCTGTGAGTCTAGCGGGCAGTCGACCTCCAGACCTGTGACTCTCAGTCTCAGGCTCCTTCCACTGTGCCTCTAGTCTTAGCTATGCCACTCACTGGCGTGATCTTAGAGAAGATCTCCTGCCTCAGTCTCCTTTACAGTAAAAGGGGTGTAATATTCGTTCTCTGTGTGTAGGAATAAAATGAGATGTTAAATGTGAAAATGTTTCTGAAAATTAAGGTGTTCTACCCAAATATAAAGAGGTTAACTCTTAGAGAGTGTTGAGCCCTGGGCACTGTTAGGTTAGCAGTGCCTCAGAGGAACGCTTCTGGGTGGTGACAGGCTGGAGGCTCCGCTGTCTGCGTCTTAGTGTCTAATTAAGCTCCTGGCCTCCCGCCCCGAACCAGACAGTAATGGCCACCGTGCCGGTCAAAGCCCAGACTGCGGCGGCCACGGTGCAGCGGCCTGGACCCGGGCCGGCGGGGCTCACGGTGACGAGTCTGCCTGCAGCAGCCAACCCTGTGAGCAAGCCAGCCGCCAGTTCCCCTGGGAGCTCCGCTCAGGGTGCTCCCACAGCTGCGGTCATTCAGAACGTCACGGGACAGAACATCATCAAGCAGGTAGGGGGGCGTCTCTCTGGGTGGGTCTGACTCCTTTGTCTGAAGAAATCAAAGGACGGTTGGACAAGGATGTAGTGATTTGTGACCTTTGATCCTTAGGTCATAGGTGTATTTATTTTATTTTATTTTGTCTTTAATTGAAGCGTAGTTGACTGACGGTGCTAGTTTCAGGTGTACAGCAAAGTGGTTCCCTTATACATACACGTACATCTATGTATTTTCAGATTCTTTTGCGTTACAGCTTATTACGAGAAATTGGAATTGTTCCCTGTGCTCTACAGTAGCAGGTCCTTGAGTTCCGAAGTGTTTCAAGTGTGAGTTTCTACCAAGGGCAGTGCAAGCTTGGTAGAGCCCAAAGGAACTTTTTGTGTGTTTCTTTTCATATAATTCAGCACTTATTAGCTGAGTTTCTTGGTCTGGATCAGACTCTCCGTGACTTTAACTTACTTAGTTAAAACCCTGTGGAGTAACCTGATAGACTTAATTGGCATTTCAGTTTACATCCATGCAACTAGAGTATGTTTGTGCTTTCTTGGTTGTGAATGCGCAAGGGTAAGTGGTGAACTTGGAGGAATTGTCAGGTAGAAAAGCAGTGAATGGTGCTGGGAGCGCTTCCTGCGCATCTGCACCTGTCACACCTGTTACAGGTGCTAAACGTTGTGGTCCTCAAGATACCACAGGGTGGGCGCTTCTGTTGTCCCCGTTTTACACATGAAGCAGTGGAACCACTACTGATAGAGTGTCCTTTTTTTTTTCATCAGACAAGTATTTACTGAGTGCTTTTTGTGTGCCCAGCACTGTCCAGCTGGGGCTCGCACAGGCTGGGGCTCAGTGTCACAGAGTCCGGGGACAGACAGGTACCTCGGGGTCAGCCACAGCCAGGGCTGTGGGGATCGGTGAGCAGGAGGGTGGAGGGGCCAGAGGAGGTATCTCCGGGGAGATGGCTGGTGAGAGAGATGAGGGAGGCGGGAGCGGGTGCTGAGCTGGGGTGCTCAGGGGTTCTCAGGGCACAGGAGCAGCAGGGAAGGGCCTTTTGCATCTGGAGCATGTTGCAGGAACAGCAGGAGAGCTGTGTGGCTGAAGCTCGGTGAGCAGGTGTGCTTGTGTGAGAAGGCGAGGTTGCCAGTGGTGAAATGGTGTCAGACTTCCCCCTTTAATTTAAGCGTGGGAGACTGTGAGCCAGGGTGATGACCTCGCTTACATTAAAGGAACCCTGCCTTTGCGTGGAGTGGAAGCAGGGAAGCCAGGTGGGAGGCATCGCAGCCGTGCAGGTGGGGGTGGCTGCCTCCGCCATGGTCGTGGGCGGAGGAAGCAGGGCTGGGAATAGCCCCGCGGCTCTTGGGTGTTGCTGTGGTTTCCTGAGATAGAAGAAAGCACTGAGGTATGGGGTCTGTAGGACAGACCGAGAGAAAAACACTGAAGCCAGCGCCTGCGTCAGTGTGTGAAGGGGAGATGAGGCCGGAGAGTTGCCCACTCAGTGGACGCAGGTAACGAGTGAACCTGCCGGGATTCAGAGGGCTGTGGCTTTTGGGAATGGATTCAGCAGAGCCTATGAGGCGAGAAAGTGGAGACAGTGAGTGTGGGTGATTGTCAGTCTTGCTTTTGAAGAGAGCAGAGAACTGGGGCTGGAGTCAGGGTGTGGGGTGAGCAAGGGTTCACGGTGTTTCAGGAAGGGAACTGCGTTCTGATGGCAGGGAGTGGCCCGGTAGAGGGAGAGGGGGTGGCTCATGAGATACAGTCCCACAGGCTGGAAGGGTAGTGTGTGTTCCACCAGGAGGTTGGCCTTAGGTGGGAGTCAGCGTGTGACCCTGGGAAGTCTGGCTTGTCACCACCGTGGCGTGCTCTCAGAGTGGAGGTTGGTGCAGCCATAAATAGGTTGTTTTTTTTTTTTTTTCCCTAGGGGAGCAGTGCTGTAGACAAGAGCGGGCCACACAGACGAGGGCCAGGTGTTTGGGGTGCTCTGTAAGGTCGGGTCACAAGGTGCCTGACAGGCTTGTGCACAGGTCTCTGGATGGTTGCAGGTGAGGTGAGAGGTTTAGGGTCCTTGGGGTTTATGACTGATAAGGTGGGCTGAAACAAGCCATCCTGAGCTACTGTGAGATTAGGCATCGTTACCTGGGACTGTTATTTCATTAGGGCAAACACACCCCGCGAGGAATGTAGTTTATTTGTTGAGGCATCCCAGGCAGACATCTGAGAGCCCAGGAATGGGGGTCGTTGGACTTGGAAGGACACTAGTGGGCCCCGCCTTCCCCCTGACAGATGGGCAGTGGCAGATCTTTGGAGCAGGAGCGAAGGTTTCATCTCCATGTCTGCTTCCTGCTGAGCGGGGGGTGGGGCACTGTCCCTGCCTATCTTGCCAATCTGCATAAATAGGCATTTTTGAGACAGTAGGGGAAATGCGAATGTATGTTGTACTATTTATAGGTGATTACTAGGTAATGACAGGTGATTATTTTTTAACTTAGAGTCTTTCTCGAGGTTAGAGACATGTACAGAGGTGCAGTCAGCCCTCTCCTTCCTCCGGTTCTGCGTCCATAGGTTGAACCAACTGCCGATCGAGCCTGCAGGTGCAGAGGGCTGACTGTCCTGCTCCATTTCACGTAAGGGACTGGAGCAGCCGTGGATACCGAGGAACGACCGTATTTCTCAGTGAAATGATACTCCTTGGTTTACTTTAAAGTACTCCAGTACCCTTCCACCCCAGCACTCCGGAGAGTGGGGAAGGGTAGAGAAAACACAGCTGCCACGTGATTGGTTTTGAAGCTGGATGATGGTACATGGATTCGTTAGACTGTTCTCTACTTTGTGAATGTTTTCCAGTTTTCAGAGTAAAATGTGAGAATGATTTATGGAACACCCATTTCCCGCGGTGGAGCTTTCCCCAGTCCTGCTCTGTAGCCCATCCCGCCATGTGGCCCCCTTCATCAGCGCTCTCCCTTCCCCTCCAGGTGGCGATCACTGGGCAGCTTGGCGTGAAGCCCCAGGCGGGCAGCAGCGTGCCACTCACAGCCGCTAACTTCCGTATCCAGGGTAAGGACGTGCTGCGCCTGCCGCCCTCATCCATCACCACGGATGCCAAAGGCCAGACGGTTCTGCGAATCACTCCAGACATGATGGCCACGTTGGCCAAGTCCCAGGTCACCACAGTCAAACTGACCCAGGACCTCTTTGGGACAGGAAGTGGCACTGCGGGCAAAGGCATCTCTGCTACCTTACACGTCACTTCCAATCCCGTCCACGCGGCTGACAGCCCTGCCAAGGCCAGTCCGGCCAGCGTCCCTTCATCTACCCCAACAGGGACCACCGTGGTCAAGGTGACTCCTGACCTCAAGCCAACAGAAGCCTCAGGTTCAGCTTTCCGCTTAATGCCAGCGCTTGGTGTGAGTGTGGCTGACCAGAAGGGGAAAACTACAGTGGCCTCTTCCGAAGCCAAGCCGGCAGCCACCATCCGCATCGTGCAGGGCCTGGGAGTGATGCCTCCCAAAGCGGGCCAGACCATCACGGTTGCGGCCCATGCCAAGCAGGGGTCGTCAGTGGCCAGTGGGTCCGGCACTGTTCATACCTCTGCGGTGTCCTTGCCCAGCGTGAACGCTGCCACGTCCAAGACTGTGGCTGTGGCTTCTGGCTCAGCCAGCTCCCCCATCAGCATTGGGACTGGAGCCCCTGCTGTGCGGCAGGTCCCCGTCAGCACCACCGTGGTCTCCACGTCGCAGGCTGTGAGTAACGGTGGTGGTGAGGCGTAGCCTTTCCTCTCGGGAAGTGTTTGTTAGGGGTGCAGACTAGACGCCCTGTCTGTCACCTCCTTGGACCCAAACAGGCTTATTTATTGTAAGACTTAGTTATTTAATTTTGAAACACGTGTATGAAGGTGTAGCGCAGGCGTACATTCTTAAACAAATACCAAATAGAGCAGAGGTATGAAAACAGGAAACTCCTCTCACCGCCCTCTGATTCCCCTCCGTGAGGCTCGTTACTGGTGGTGGTTTGACATTTATCCTCCTCCTTTCTCTGAGCATCTTCGTACACATAGTTAAAAAAATCCCTGAGAGATCTCAGTCTGTATATTGTTCCGTGATTTGCTTTGTTTACTTAAAATGTCTTGGGGGTTGTTCTGGATCCCACACGGACACTGAATGTGCCCTTTTAGTGATACCGTGGTGTCATGAACCAGGGCCACGGTGAACGTTCTTGTTGTGCACACGAGCACGTGTAAGTGCTTCAGAAGCGGAGGCTCCAGAAGGGGCCAGGGAGACCCCCCGTGTTCAAGGTCTTGCCATTCCAGTCGCATTACCACAAAGGCCATCTCATGCTCCCATCAGCCAGTCCTGTTTCCCCCGTTCCCTACCCAGGCTGGATATCTTGTATTTTTCGGACTTTATATACCCGTCTTACTGCCAAGAAGAGTTTCTCCCCACCTCCCTGATCTTTGGTGCGGTCGGGCATCCCTGCGTGCAGGGGTTGTTCCAGGCCCTCCAGGGGTGGATAAATCCTCGCCAGTTTTCTTCTGGGGTGTTTGGCCTTTCCATGTTGTGTGAGCTGGCACCAGGTTTCTGTCTTCCGGCTGTTAGTGCTTGTATGTTAGAAAATGCTTTCTTCCAGTCTGTCATTGTTTAACCTTGCACACGAAGCGTTCTGCTCTGCAGGTATTTTATCTGATTGGATCTACCAGCATTTTCTTTTATGGCTCCTAGGTTTTGTGTGTTGTGCCTTTTTTACCCCAGGGTTATGAAGATGTCAGCCTTCATTTTCATAAAATATTTTTAGAATTTTGAAGGAGGTATAATTCGTAAATCCATTTAAAGTATATTTTTGTGAACGGCACATGGTAGAGATGGCATTTTGTATTTTTCAAATTATTCCAACATCGTTGACGAGTAAATTTTTTCCCCACTAAGTTGGAACAGTACCTTTATCACAAACCAGATCCCCAGGTCAGCAAGTGTGTTCCTGGGTGCATGTCCTGATTCTTTAGCCTCTGGATGGAGGGTGCTGCTCGGCATGGTGGTGCATACGGGCAGTATAAAACACAGTCCTACTTTTCCAAGCAAGCTGTATAGTAAAACCTCACTAATTTGGATAAAATCCAGGATAATGGAGGGAGGAAAACGTGCACATTAGTAAAACCAACCCTGAAATACAGTGTGGCTTTAAAGGGAATGTTTGTTAAGTCCTCACATCACAGGAGTGAAATAAGGAAGCAAGGGAACACTGCCTTGGTCCACTTCTGTTTCTCTTGAGCCGTCTGACACAGAAATGTGTATCCAGTGGCACCTACCCTGTTCTCCTCAGTATGGATAAATGTAGCCAGAGAGCATTTGATGGGCCAGGAAGTGTTGAATGGAGCTTTTTTCCCCTATCTAGTTGCCTGGCTGGTCGGGCTTGCTCACGAAAGGACAGCTCCAGCTGGTGGACTGCTGGCCTGAAATGTTTCAAGCGTCTAAGGCATTCTTAACAAGAAGATGCAACCATAAGTAAAGCCTCCTGCAGGCACCGTCTGGCCGTGTTTGCTTGCCTGAGGGCTTTTTTCAGTGCTTTTAGGACTACAGGGCGAGTCAGCTGTGGAGCTCGGTGTGGGGCCCTCTGGCTTTCCTCCTGAACACCCAGCTTTTTTAGAACCGGCTTGCCCGCGGGAAGTGTCGAGTCCTTTTCTGTGCATCTTGTCAGCCACCCCTCTTGAATCTTTCTTTTTAAAGCAATAACTTTTTTTTTTTGGCTGGGAGAGGTAACCTGGTTTATTTATGTTTAGAAGAGGGACTGGGGATTGAACCCAGGACCTTGTGCATGCTAAGCATGTGCTCTACCACTGAGCTATACCCTCCCCCTCTTGAATAATTTTTAAGTCAGATTTACACAAGATTTTACTGTATATAAATTTTATTATCAACCAAGGGTTAAAAACTAGGCAACCTAAAAGCAAGCTGATGTAGTGACCTAACCCCAGCCATGCTGAAATCCCAAAGACACCAGGCTTTTCCAGCTCCTTTCTTGTTTCTCCTGGGCCTTCCTGTTAGCTGTGGGGCTGGACTTTTCACTTGGTTGAGTTTGTTATTAGTGTCCCCTGACTAACCTCTCTTATCTCTGAGAGAAACAAAGCGCCTGGAGAATGTGCCCTCTGTGGGCGCCCCAGGTGAGCCTGCCCGCTGGAGCAGGAGTACGCACCTGCTGTATTAACTCTCGAGCGCCTGTGTCCCCCTGAGTTACTGTGAGCAGGTCCTGTGTGCCATGTCGGCGCAGTCCGACTGTGCTCAGGTGAGCACACACTTCCTTTGCGATTCAGGCCCACGTTTCATCCTGATGCCAGCAGGTACATGTGCGGCTCTGCTTAGGAAAGAGGAGGATGACTCCTAAGTAGTGTCCTTGAGCAGTAAGCACAGACGTGAGTGAGTCTGCAAGGGCCGCCTGAGCCCTGCAGGGCACGGGGAGCAGAGGGTTGGGCGCTTGCTCCGGGCGCTCATGGCCCTCCGGGTGACGCTGGGTGGCATTCCTTATCTCTTCTGTCCTGTGAGCCTGGCTGACTTTTCTCCATAGGGGAAGCTCCCAACGCGGATCACGGTTCCACTCTCTGTCATCAGCCAGCCTATGAAGGGCAAGAGTGTGGTCACAGCTCCCATCATCAAAGGCAACCTTGGAGCCAAGTGAGTGCTGGAGTGAGGGGCGGGCAGGGCTGCTGGAGGCTCCTGACCACGGAGTGGGGTGGCAGCCGGGTTCCTGGGCTGCTTTGTGGTGCTCAGCAGTGTTTCTGGGGCACCTCGCGTTGTCTTAGGTGCTGGGGACACGGCGATTCACAGAGACAAGCGTCTGCTGTCCTCAGGCTTTGACTTTAAAGTAAACGCGGGGAGAGGGAGTGTATGAAGATACTGTCTGGGGTGGTGATACATGCTGTTGAGGGGAGAAGCCAGGGAGGGGACAGGAGGTACTGGAATGGGCTGGGTGCTGACGTGGCTCTGGTGGCAGATCCCAGTGTGGGTGTTAGGGATGTCTGGGCCCTTTGGTTCAGAGGATGAGGGCTTGCTTGGAAGCAGGGGCTTCCTGTGGCTCTGACTTAACACGAGGGTGAAGGAGCGATGTCTGCCCGTCTCAGGGCAGCTGCTCGCGGAGGGTCTCTGGTCAGAGTGCACCCCCCCCCGGGTGCTGTACTGTTCTGCTGATCACGGTGTGGATGCAGGGCCCCTCCACTTTTTTTAATCCATCAAAGTGACCTTCTTTTTTGACGGTATGGAATTCGACAGTCCTAAACATCAATTTATTTTAATTAATAGGAATGAAACCTGGGATGAAGTTCACTTAACTTCTCACAGCCAGGACAGAAAGCAGGTGTACACACGCAAATCCTAAAATGCAATGATCTGTCCTTATTTAGAACAGTGTTTCTGCCGGAGCAAGGCTGATGTGTTGTGTTGAAGTGAAATGCTCCCTGAAATAGCTCTAGCTGGGAGCCCCCCCATTTCCCCACACGGTGCCCTCCAAGGGGGTCCAAAGACCTGCAGAAATGGTCCCCCCGCCCCGCCATCGTTCAGCCCTCCTGTGGTGCTGATGAGAAGACTAGGCCCTATCGCGGGGACCACCCCTGAGGCTGGGCCATTTTATCCATGGCACTGGGGGCCTTGCTCCTTCTCTGACCCGGGAAGCACAGGAGCTGGGAGAAAGGTGGCCTCACCGGCTCGTCCCCATTTCGGTCCAGAAGGCTGGGGTTTTCCCTGGGCACCAGACTCCCTATTTTCCCCCAGCCTTGGGACTTGGGCTGGGCCGGGAGGACGCCAGCCCCGTCGCGGGCCTCACTCGGGCTTCCCCTCCCTCCAGCCTCAGCGGGCTGGGCCGCAACATCATCCTCACCACGATGCCGGCGGGAACGAAGCTCATCGCCGGCAACAAGCCCGTGAGCTTTCTCACTGCGCAGCAGCTGCAGCAGCTCCAGCAGCAAGGGCAGGCCACGCAGGTAAGGCCCGGCTGCCTGTGTCGGCCGCTCTCTGCCGCTGTCCTCTGCTCATGAGCCCTTCGCAGCCTACTGACCGGACTCTTTGCAAACAGGTGCGCATCCAGACAGTCCCTGCGTCCCACCTCCAGCCGGGAACGGCTTCTGGTTCCTCCAAAGCAGTCTCCACCGTCGTCGTGACCACAGCTCCGTCTCCGAAACAGGCTCCTGATCAGCAGTGATTCTGAGCGAGGAAGGTGGCCGCCGTGGACGCCACGCCTGGTCGGCCTCTTGGGCCGGGAGGCGGGAGCGGGCGGCCGCAGTGTCCCCCGAGCGTGTCCGTCTGAGGCAGGCCCGCGGTGGGGCGGGGCGGTGCGAGGGTTGCCGGGGTCCCGCAGTCTGTTCTGTCTGGCCCAGGAGGGGCTTCCCTGTGGGGCTGCGTGAGCTCGTGGTGGTCACACAGCCGGGCACTCTGCTGGGAGCTCGGCGCCGAGGCAGGCGGAAGGGCGTGAGGAGTGTGGACGGCGGATGAGTCCCGCCCTGTGCTGGGCTTGTGCCTCTCAGCGTCTGCTCTTCCCTGTGACTGGTGTCTGGGTAGGAGTTTTGTGTCCGGATGTTTTCATGTAACTTATTTTTTACAGACCCTGTTGTACATGTTTATTGAGTAGAAACTTGGGCTTCAGCTTGGCGCTCCTGACCCCACCCCAACCGATTACTTACTCTTTTGACCAGAATGAGAGAAAATCAAGGTGCTTAGTAAGTTGGTGGCTGACTTGATGACTCACGGTAACGGGGGGCAGGAAGAGGGGAAAGGAACGAAGGACGTGGATGGTGTGTGTCCCTGAAGCGCGATGAGTTGGCGCGACCTTACAGGCGAGGTGTCAGGATCTTGATGGTGGTCAGGACCTGCGCCTGCTGACTGCCCTCCTCAGGCCCGCTCCCGCGCAGGGCCAGGGCCAGTGGACAGAGCGGGCGGACGCCCGCAGGGACTGCCCACAGGGAGGCTGCAGCAAAAGCTTGGCTGCGGTTTGGAGACAATACGTTTTGCTTTGCTCCAGAGCTAAAGTCAACAAACCGTTCCCCTGGGGCTGGCTACCTGTTTTTTTTGTAAATAAAGTTTTATTGGAACACAGCCCATGCCCATTCATTTATGAGTATCTATGGCTGCTTTCGGTTAGAAGGCAGACCTGAGTAGTTATCATAGAGACTGTGGCCTCAAGCCTGAAATTTTTCTTCTGTGACTGTTAAGTGAAACTCTGCTCCAGAGTGGAGGCGGCAGGAGAGGAGTGTTGTGGCCACGAGGTAGACCTGGCCACGCGGGAGGCAGGTGTCGGGGTACAGTTACGTGATCCCGGCTCCTCCACACTTCTCAGGCTCCATCAAGCTATAGGCAGAGCTCAGGACCGTATTTTAAAATGTAATTAAAAGCACTGATTGTTGATAATAATCAACGCCTCTTTTGTGTTGGAGCAGGTGTTGGATGGTAAAGCTTTTCTGCAGTGACAGGGCTTTTCTGCTCTCCTGAAAGTGTCCAGATTAAAAACGTGTTTCTAAGCCATGGAAACTTAGCGATGATCTTTAATGGGGTCTGGCTGAGAAAGTGGAGCTAGAGGGTGAAGGATTAGAATGGCCTTGTTTAGAGGAGGGGATTCCTGGGTGGAAGGTGAGCGATTAGGCAAGTTGCAGACGTGCGGACAAGGTTAGAGTGGCCTGTTGGATACGCAGTGGTCTTACTGAAGTTTGATTCTTACAGCAGTTCTGTGAAATGGACATTATCATCCCTGTTTTAACTGGGAAGATGCGGGTCTGAGCTGAAGTTAAAGGGAACCAAGGTGAAAGTGCAGTCTTCTGGTTGTAAGTCAGGTGACCTGCTGCTGCCTTCCAGTGGGAAGGATGGCTGTGGTGTGTCCTGGTGACACGGGACTGTCCAGAGCTGGGGGTGGTGAGGCTGGCTTACAGAGAGCAGAGGTGAATTGGCTGAGGTCGGATGGAGCTTTTGATGGGTAGTCGAGGTGGGTAAGATTGGTGGTGGGGAGAGGAGGAGAGTGCAGGGATGGAAGGATGCTGGTCTTCCACCTGAGGAGAGGGGTGGTGTCTGTGTTTTATGATAACTGGGGTGTTTGCATGGCGTTACTTCCAGGAGCCACAGTTCACGTGACAGTCCTGTGTGACGGTTTCCAAATGAGAAAAAGGTAGAAATTTGAGGGATCCTGTCTCTGGTATTTACTGCTGGTTAAAACAAACCCCTTCTAAATTTACTTAACAAATGATTGCGTAATTTGTTCAGCCTCAACCCTACCCCACACGTTTATTTGCTAAAGTCACCTGATTACCTGTCTCCTTGGTGCCCACAGACATTTATTTACATCCTAGCAAACAGGTATGTTTCAGGACGCCAGTGTAGGATTGACGCCCAGGTAAGTGTGATCTGGTACTTCGTGCCCAGCCTGCCATTGGGTACCATGCAACAGTGCCCCCCCGTTGGAGCTGCTCAAATGAGGTCACCGGCATTTGCATCAGTCATGGTGCCTTGGACACAGACCTCAGGGTTCTTGTAGAGACGTGGTAGCTGTCGTGGGTGTTTTGAGGGAACAAGTCCAGAAGAACTTGGTTGAGAGGCTCGCAGGCTGGCAAGATTACACAGACCGTGCTTCTGACGCTAGGTTTGGTGAGTGGCATTGTGATGCGTTTGTGCTTTACTGCTGCAGCTGAGAATGTTTATATGGGCTGATCACTTCCATGAAGGTGTCTCAGACCCTGGCGTGGGAGGAGCAGCAAAACAGATTTTAATCCTTCGTATCTGATCTTCACACCTCAGCGCCCCACTCTGGAGAGCATGCTACATTTCCTTAAAGATTCCCCCACCCTCACTTTTGAAGTTTAAAATGGAGACCTTTCTGTGAGAGTGAAACTGGGAATAGCTTCCTTCTTCCCACCTCTGGTCTTAAGGAAGGAGCATGTTTTATACCAGGTGCCAACAATAGATTCTCCAGAACTTGCTGAGTGAAGGCTTGGGTCCCACTCAGCAGGCAAAGCAAAGTGGGTCCTGAAACGGGACCCCCAGGCTCTCCTCATAATTCAGTCAGTGTTTCCAAGTAGCTCATTCTTAACCCCTGAGATGTGCCTTCAGCTCTGGGGTGGTGGCGGTCCGTGGGAGGTTGCCTTTCTTGCACGTACAGCATTTCTTCTTCCCAAGAGCATGAGTGTTTCGCACAGATGGTCTGTGCTGCATTGGGTTAGGTGGCAGAGGGAATGGCGAGAGGAGTTGGCTTTGAGTCCTCCCAAGGACTGGCTTGAGGGCTGAGCAGGTGTGTGACCCCGGGCTGAGCCGGTTCTCCGAAGTGCCTGGCATACCTGCGGTGCAGGTGGTCGTGAGAATCACACGAGCTTCAGCACGTTTCGGAGTCTGAGAGGTGCTGTGCAGGTGAGCGGCACTGCCGGTCCAGATGCCCTCTCCGCTGTGTCCCGACCCACTCCTGCCGGTTTCTGGGACTTGAACTCCCCGGGTTCCTTTGTGCTCTCGTTGTCTCCGTGCGTGCGGGCTTCTGGGCCTGGGATGTGATTTTCCTGTAGGGCAGACTCCCCGTTTCTCCCTGCTCATCTCCCATGGCTGTTGTCCTTATGCCTGAGGGCACCAGTCACCCTGCCCGAGACTGCTTGTACCTCTCCCTTTAGACCGAATCCTTGCTGGACACGTATTTCGTTAATCCGTACGACCATTTCAGTACTGGTACAAAGCAGATGTTTAATAAGTATTTGTTGAAAGAAGTTAAAAAAAAAAAAAAAGAACAGATCCAGAACCAAGACTCGAGCATCAAGACTTTGTGTTACTCATTCAAGATTCACGTCCTTCACAGGGTTCTTATCCTTTGCTTTCAGCTAAATTCAGGGCGTTCCATAACGTGACGCTTTTCTCTCTACCTCATTACAGGGATTTCCTCTTAGGAAATCCTATTAGGGTACTTCTGAGGAGTCAGACCGTCTGAGTTCCAGCTCTCAGCTGGGCCACTAACTAGCTTCCTGATTAAAAAAAATCACCTTTGGCCCAAGTTTGTTATTTATCGGCAGTGAGTGGTACTGCATGACTCTGGAATGTTGATTATTTTGAAGATGTTTAATAAGTAATATTTAAAACACCAAAGCATATGAATTATTTTACTTCAAAAAATACATACTGGAATTAAATGTCTAAAATAAACTCTGTCAGTCATTTACTTTCTGAAAGTACTCGATTTCTGGAGAGGAAAAGGGCTAAATTATTAAAAGCAGTAAGTTCTGCTGGATGCATATCCTGAAATCATCCAGAAGGTCACTTCCTGTTCAGAAACTTTCACGGTCCGATTTCTCTTCACACTGAGATGCAGTTAAAGGCTTGCTTCAGTTTTCTTTACAAAGGATACCACACCAACCAGATTTTAGTCGGTTAGATGAGGAGGTGCAAATATACAGATCCTGAGAGGACCACAGTGAGGACTGAAGTGGAGGAGGTGAGCCACACGGTTGACCGCCAGCTGTGGGCGTGCAGGGGACACATCCATCCTCCACTGGCCGATGGGTGACCGGCCACCTCTAGTCCTCATCCGAGCCACCCAGGAGGGCTGTCTGGTAGGTGTGATCTGACTTCAGCTTCTGAATCCCAATGATTTCTCTTTCTCCGTGTCTCTTGACTCGTGTCAGAAAGCTGTAACAGAAACAGTGAGAGCAATTGAGGGTAGCCCCCAGGTCCCCACATTCCCTCGGCTGAGGATGCGGGGGCCTCTGCTGGTGCTTAAAGCATTCTCTCTCTCTGTTTATCAAATACTGTGATTACTTGTCCACATGCCTGACTTCCCAGACAGTATTCTTTGGTGGATAAAAGAACTCATGATCGATACTATTTAACGGTTAGTGTCGTAACTGAGACTAAGCTCAGGTCTCTTGTCCGCGGTTTGTTTCACAGACCAGGCAGTGGACCAAAAGGAAACCATGAGCTCGCTTCCCTTCTGTTTGGTCCCCGTGGAACTCTCTGGGTGAAGTGTCTGCCTTCAGTAGGGAAGTCAGGGACTAGGAGGGAGCAGGGGGCGGCTCTGATGACACAGAGCTCAGCGAGCCGGGGCTGAGAGCCTGGAACGCGGTTGCAGTCTCGGGCTCTGCGCTTGCTCCCTGTCTTGGGCTCTGCGCTTACTCCCTGGGCCGCCCTGATCCCATGCTTCAGTCTTTCCAAGCCTTGGTTTCCCCATCTCTACACATCACGTGCACGCTTCATCAGGTGAGCGTCATGTGGGGTAATTTAATATGCATCACATGCTGACCGCATCGCAGGGACACGGTCCGTGCCTGGGAATCACTGTCTGCTCTGGCAAGCCCTGGGAGCGCTCGGAGAGCGCTTGCTGCCCCGGCGTTTATCTGCTGACTGCATGTCCGTGAAAGTCAGGCAAACCAAGAAATGGTGGGATGGGCTCGGAATGAACCAGGGACAGCAGGCACTGCGATCCAGGACCAGTGCCTATTCAGAGTGTCTCCCATCACACCGCTGTGACCAGACAGGCCCTTTAACTTCCCAAGCCCTGTCACCCTTGTTCGCAGGCGTAGAGTACCTTGCACAGGACTTGGCGCTCACTGAGAGGTGGAAGTTAGCACTGCTTGGTTGTGAAAGGCAGGTCAGTGAAGGTAACAGTGATGCAGTGCAGTGCATTTCAGGGCAGGGGGCTGGTTAAGAGGATGACCTTGGACGTACCAGTGAACAAGTGAGTAGCTGATGGCCACTGTGCAGAGGGCGGCCAGGTAGTGCCAGCTGAAGCACATGGTGATGAACATGATGTTGTTGTGGTCACTCTGGTCCCATTCGGGTCCTCCGAAAGGCGGAAACAGCACGAACCCGATCTGGTGGGTGATGCAGAGAAGCCGCCTTGTCATCCGTGGGGGCCAAGACACCCCTGGCCCCCTGTGGCTGCCCGAGTTGTCAGCAGCTCCCCACCACCTCACCCCCATACCCTGTTAGTATCAGAAGGCCTCTTGCACAGGAAATGTTTCTAAGTTAATCCTGAGTTCAGTGTAGCCTTACTTAAAACAGTATCAGAGCTCTTGTCTATTGTGAAGTTTGGCAAGTGGAGCCTGTAAGTGGCGTCAGTCCCTCCCCTGGGGAGAGCAGACGGGGCGGTCCCCTGCCTGCTGGCTGTGCGTGCTCTGGAGGCACAGCGCCAGCAGCAGGATGTTAATGGGAGAGGCCACACAGGTCAGGGGTGGGCGCAGGCAGGGCAGCGGCTTCTGACCCCTCCGCGTGGCACCTAGTGCTGCGTCTCCTGGACACACTCGGTGAGGCTGCTTCATCCATGTACAGGGTGAGGGGCATGGTTGGGGGTAATTACCTGCCAGAACCAGGTGCCCTGAAGGATAGCGAGGCTGGTTCGGAAGAGTTCCAGCACAATGTTGTCCCGAAGGATCACTTCCAAGGCAATGCTGAGAGCCCCTCCAAACACGGCGTACAGCAGGAGGGAATGGATGTGCTGGTCCAGCGGCGGCCGGTTGTGGACGTGGTAGTAGAAGAGAAAGCCTGCAGCGCAAGGACGGCCGTCAGCCCCCATTTCCACCCAGAGGACCCATCCCTGCTTTAGCCTCGTTAGGACACGTCTGTCTCCCAGTTAGATTTTCCACCCCTAAGGAATCACTTTATGTAACACTGGAGCAGCAAGCTGATGCAGTTAAATTCATTGCATGAGCGTGTGCCTCGTGTGAGAGCAGGTGTGAGCAGCGAAGGATGTGTCTTGTATCTCTTTACAGAATCCGTGGTAGGTTCTGTGTGATGGGCTGGTGAGACACGTTGCTGATGTGTGACAGTTCTCATGTGTGTGTACTTTCAGTTCAGTCTCATCCTCATTTCAACCTTTTTTCACCGCTTCCTGAGGTACAGATGTAAATAAGGTGGCTGGAGTACAGAATGCTCCTTTTAGCCTAGCTAACATGAGTCACGCTGGGAGGTCTGTCCTAGCTGCCGGGCAGGCTTCCTGGGACGTGTGACGGAGTCCAGACAGTCATACCCAGGGTGGGGTGGGGGCAGTCTCTCCCCTAACCAGGTGGGCACCCCAAGTCTCCCGTGAGGGGCGAGGCGTTTGTGTGCTGTCAGCTGGAGCTCGGGCTAAAAGCCTCGTGCTTTCATGTGCTGCTTTAGGGGATGTGTCGTCTGAACCATCCACAGCACAGGACCGGGTCCTGTGCAGGTTTCTGAAGCTCAAGGATTGGGATTTTCTGGGGAAGTTTATTAAATTAGTGGTATTTCTGGTAGTTTGTCCTCCGATCCCTCTCAACATAGCCTGGCAGTCTCCGTTTCCATTTCTCCATCCAAACCACCCAGTTACCTTCATTGAACACCGCCACAGCCATGACCAGCCTGTCCAGCCCCACGGGGGTGTGGGCGCTAAGGTAGGTGAGCATGTCCGCGACTCCCGAGGCGGCGAAGAACAGGTACATGGTGCTGTGCTGCCAGTTCATCAGCTTCACCCAGTGGCTCTCTTGGGACAGGTGGAGGTGGGGCCCGTCTGGAACAAACTGCTCTGCCAGGACCCCTGCGGGGAGACAGGGGTGCAGGTTGGGGGAAGAGCAGCTCCAGGACAAGCAGCCAAGTACCCCAAGTCATGCATGGGGGCTGCGATTCCGGGGACCTGCTTTGCTGCCTCAGATGCAGCCATTTCAGTACAAAATAAGTGTTTGCTGGAGAACCCGTAGGGCCGTGTTGCCTTTGTTGTGGTTCCTTTAGGGGAGGAGTGGGGGTAGGAGCAGTGATAGAAACGTAGCCACATGGGTCCCCAGGATGTTTGTCCAGCAGCTGAGATGACAGAAGGACACTGTCACTGAAGTGAGAGTTTGGGTGATAGCCACCTGTGGGTTCCCCCGCCAAGTGAGCCCTGAAAGATCTGGAAGGAAGCAACTCGGTTTAAAATGAAAGGACCCCATGAGACACACTGGTGGTGGACAGACCCTTGCTCCCAGGTGTGTTCGCTTCCTACGGGCTTGGAGGTGGGGGTCCTTCCCACCACGCCGGGTCTCCCAGACGCCGGGAGAACAGGGCTGTTACCCCGGTGTTTCTGGCCTCACTGAAGCTCGGGACACAGGCGCAGCAGAGCCACGGGGCCTCGCTCACTTCTTACTCCTTCTACCTTCATCACCTCTCTTGGAAGCAGGAGACTGGTCTCTCATCCGGTGCCTAAAGTGTTCTTGGAGCCTAGAATAAATCCTCCGTGATGACACTCTGGACCCTGTTCCCAAACCGGCCTCTTCCTGAATTCACGTGTCAAGGCTGTAAGTGTTGGTGGAGATGTCCCAGTGACAGGCGAGCAGGAGCCGTCCGAGAGCGGGGACTGCCTGGCCCCCGGCGGCATCCCTGACACTGAGACAGCGAGCCCTGGGCATGCAGCAGGAGCCCAGGAGGTCATTGTTGGATGAGTAGTAGTTCCACCCGGCAGAGAGGTCTAGTAGTAGTTTCCTAGCTTTACTGAGGCCAGGCCGGTGCGGTCCTTACCATGTAAGTCACTTGGGCCCTATCACGTCTCAGCTTCAGAGAGAGAACCGGGTGCCCGGTGAATGGGAAGGTGCGGTGGACTCTGCTCACTCCAAGAGGAGCCACTGCCCTTGCTTTAGTTCCTCAGCGGGACTGTGGGCCACAGGGGACAGGTGGCCAGATGCCGCTGCAGGCTGAGATCCCTCACTGCCCGCGTGATGGGCTGCTGGCACTGCTTGTTCCCTGAGGGCCACCAGTGAGGCGGAGAGGCCGACAGGTGACAGTGGAAGGGGGTGGGCTTTGTTGGAATGGGGCTCAGCGGAGGAGAAACCCCTGGACTGACCCTCTGCTCGGTGGCCCTTTTCACCCTTGCACCGCCTCTCGCCAGCCTCTGGCATGATTTCCCCGTCTCTGAGTGCCTGCGTGTGGGCGTGGGGGACGTGCTGTGAGGGGCTGTTAACTACGACTGCAATTCTGGTGGAGGGACAACTGGGGGGAGAAAGGTGTTTTTCCTAAAACTAAGCTCCATTTAGTACTTACAACTCGTGCATGAGTTTACGCTGATTTTTTTTTTCTATTTTTATCTTTTTCATGAAGTATGTCTTCTGTTTATACAACTTATGTCATGTTCCTACAAATTATACCTACATCCTTCTGTGGTAAAGGATGCAGTTTATTTGGTAGTTTTTCACAGTGTACTGTGATGTCAGGTGCTAGTAACTGTCATTGGTACACAGCTCGGTACACAGTAGATGCTGTGATAAAATATTTAGTACTCAACCGAACATCCATGTTCTATTATTCCTGCTAGTGGAGACATCCATTTCACAGGGTCCAGAAAATGAATTACAGGCTCTGGGTATGACAGGGAGATGCCCTGGGCCAGATCAACCATCCTTACCAATGACCGAAAATAAAGTTCTGATTGCAGCTTCAATGATCTCCAGACGCTGATAGTAATGAGTCAGTTGGCTGCTTTTCCCCTTTCGGTGAAAGTACTTCAGCGGGTACTTCACTGACCACCACAGTCCAACTATCAAGAAGAAGCTCCCCGGGAGAGCGTGGCCCTTGAAGTTTGCCATCACAGTCCAAGGACACCTAAATAATAAGGAAACAATTGTTAGGTGGCTGAATGGAGGAAAAAACACATGTGGATATTTCGGCAGGAAACACAATACATGACTGACAATTCCAAGTTGTAAGTCGTATTAAGAAGGAGCCCCTCATTCTCATTGAATAAGCCTGTGTTCCGTCTTTGGAATCTTGTCTGCTAAGTGAGTTACAAGCCCAAGAACCACTGGCCCCGAGGCCTTAAAATCGTGGGTAAAATAGATGAGAAAAGGAGGGTGGGTGAATATTTCATGATCTTAGGGTAGAAAGCCTTCCTAAACATAAGGAGGGAACTAGAAAGGAAAAACCGTCACCTGTATGAGCATTTTACATATCAAACACGCCGGAAGGCGAACAGTTTGGGGAAAACGTTTGCAGTAGCTGTGATGAGCGGATAGTCCATTGAAGAGCCTTTACAAATGAATAAGAAAATGACCACAGAAGAATGGGCGAAGCATGAGCCGTGCAATTCACAAAATAACAAACTGATGATAAACTTCACTTAAAGATATGCAAATGAAAGCACTGTTGTATTTCACCTAATTTGAAGAATTAAGAGTTTTGATGCCGCCCTCTAAGTGTAAATGAACACGGTCATTCAAACTTGGTAAAATGAGAGCCTGCCATTCAGCCCGAGGTGCGTGCGGAGAGGGGAGCCTCAGCCCTTCCGTGACTCACTCCTCTGGTTTTCCCTGTGAAATTCCCAGTTGGTCTGCTGCTCACCCAGCTGGTCCTGTGACCTCAGGCTCACAAGCAGGGCGTGTCCGTGCTCGGTCCATGCTAGTCTGGAAAGCCAAGGATTTCCAACTCCCCATCACCGCCCTGAACTGCGTCTGTTTCCTGGGAGCAGAGCACGTGCCACCTTACATAAAAGTCATTGACTGAGTGAGGGGGACCCTATTAGGGTGCTGCTGAAAAGGTCATGGTTTCCCACCATTCTCACCTGAAGTTCTAATAGTTTCTCAAGAATAAATGCTTCTGTTGAGGATTTAGTGGAACTGCTCTGTAATATCACTGCCTTGGTCCCCTTTTGTGTGGCAGGTGACCTACAGGGTGTTTGAATTGACACTCCCCTCCTGCGAGCGTGCCCTGGATACGGCTGCAGAGTCCCAAGTGAATGTGATAAACAGTCTCCACGTCCCAGGCCTTCCCCTCTTGGATAAGACCCCTGCAAAGCTTACCAAAACCCTGCTTTTTGGTTTGAATTGCCCAATCTGGCCTGCCCGGGAACCCTAACGCACTCCATCTGTGGACCCTGATGAAGGCTTGAATACCTGGTCCTGCCTGTTTCTCTGCTGGCACCCTGCCTTGACCTCCCCGTGTGGCCCTCAAGGCATGCTCTGTACTTCTCCAGGACCTGTAAGTAGTGAACTCAGTTTCAGCTCTCTTGTGGGCTTTGGTTGAACTGAGGCTCACCAGCCAGCACCCAGCATTCCAAGATATTATTTTATAAGTAGTTTAACAGTCACCACAGCTTCCCAACTTGTTTACCTTTGGTCAGTTTCCAGTTCCCTGAAGTGGTTGGTTTGGATAATGTTGCCTGGTTTTACACTTATTTAGGGGGAGGGGTGTGTGTGTGCTTTGTTTCTTTACAGAAGGAACTGCATCTCTTCATGCTGTCATAACTGGAAGAACCTCTTCTCTCTCTCTCTTTTTTTTAACCCTCTACTGATCAACGTTTAACGAATCTCCAATTTCGTTTAATGTTTAACACAGGTCCCTTTCTAAAGATCAAGCCTGTTACACGCCTTTGTTTTCCTGGCCAGAAGTGCGGGAAAACCAGCTCTGCAAACCCTCCCTGCCCTTCCCCATTTTTCTGAGAGGCAGAACCCAAACAGAGGCAGAGTCCCTTGTCTGCTTCCGTGGTGTCCACACCATTTGTCAAGCCTCACCCTTCCCTTTCACCTGGTTTAAAATTCACACCAGTGGATACCAGGACCTGCAGTACATCTGGAGAAGCTACTACTGCAAGGCTGAGTACCTTGATTTGATGGAGGAGAGGAGCAAGGAGGTAGAACTCTTCCATTAACAAATTAATAGATTAGTTTATTAGGTTAGCTACATTATACAACATGTAAAGAGGATGAAGTCCAGTTTTAATAAGAAGGAAGGCAGTAACTTAGGACGATAAAAATTTAGACCTTTAATAATTTGGGTATTGCCATTCAAATAGAAAGGGAAAAGCAAATGTTTAAGGGATGAGCTCCCTTGAATATACAGAAAGGTGTAGCCTTTACGCTATAAAATATTTCAATCTAAGGAAAACCCCCAGATAGGAAAACATTAGAAAGTGCTTCCACAAAGAAAAATTCCCTCATTATTAATACTTTAACTTTTGATATCACATGAGAGGATGGGAGTGTGAAGGGATGGTTAATTGTTTTGAGAAGTAGTAACTTTGAGTTAAAGCTAGAAACCAGGAAGGCTAGAGGTCTGGGCAACCTTTCATTTCATGTCTAGAAAGATCACTGGAAAAGGAATGTCGTTTGAGTAAGAGGTTTCACCTGCTTTCCTTTCACTCCTGGTTTTAAGCCATTTCCCCCAATCTACATTCCCTTTTTTTTCATTTAAGGTATTTGAGGTGGAAGACAGGTGTCAAAAAGAGAAGGCGGCCGAGTGGGGAGCGAGGGAAGGAGGTACCCGGGAGCGGGGTGGGGAGAGGGTGCAGAGGAGAGGAGAAGCGCAGTTAATGCCATTTGCCCGTGGTTTCAAATAAAACTTGCCCCGATGGCTTTTCTTCAGTAAATCTGACGTTTTCCCTGTTTCAGACAGGGCGAGTAGGAGCAGTGAAGGAAGGGGTGTGTGTAGACGGGCGAGAGGATCAGAAAAAGCAGCAAGAAAAGTGAATTTTGTTTTCTTCCTCAAGTGCTTAGGCTTTACAACCCCCAAGACGAGCGGAACCGAGGCCTTGGCATTCACAGCAGGGGAAGGATTAAAACCAGTTTTCCTGAATTTGTGGCGACAGGATACAAATACATAGACTAGCAGCTGTCACAGCCTGGGCCTCTGCTTAGTTCCAGTTGCGCCTTTTTTGCTTCCTGTGTTCACCACGGGGTCGCCTTCACCGTGGAGTGTTGTGGAGCCGTTAACAGAAATGAACTAGCGCTGTTACAACCTGCTGTTCCGTAAGATTTTCCACGAGGTGGTGTTGGGGGAGACAGGCAAGAGGGAAAAGACTACTTGTAATACGACCTCATTTTGTGCAGCAGTGATAACGTTCCTTAATGCTGCTCATTTCTGGCTCTGTCTTCTAGACATGTGGTATGGTTGCACTTTTTGGTCCCCTGGTAGCTGGACGGGGTCTTGTGAGTCTTGAGTAGAGGTGACGTGTTAATTCTGGGCTGAGACACGTAATTGCCAGTTCAAGACCTCAGAACACGAGCCTCTCCCTCATCACTATCCGTACGCATCACGGTAGTTCCTCCGACAGCCTGGATCCCAGAGTGGGGAGACATGAGCCGAGCCCCAAACCCACCACGATGAACACATGGCATGAGAAGTCAACAGAATGTGCCGCTCAGCTTTGTGGGCTGTTTTTTATCAGCATAACCTAACCGGTTTTGAATCAAACAGCTGTATACCAGGTTAACACGTTACAAGTGGACACTCAGGCTTTTGTAGGTTTATTATTGTTTTTTTTTAAAGTATTGAAAAGTGATTAAATCCAAGGAAGAAGTAGTTGTGGTACCATAGGAACAGCGGAAATTGTACCCAAAATGTGCCGAGGGCAGTTTTGGCAAATTCTCTCTGGAGCTGCCCTGACTCCCCACCTCCCTGCCTGACATCAGATAGACGCATTTTCTCTTTTGAAATGGTGCGTGAGTTCTTCCACCCCCAGGCTGTGGCCCTGCCTTGAAGACATCGTTAGAATTCAGGTGGCCAGCGGCCTGTCATGTTGCAGAGCTAAGTGCAGGTCCATTGCTCGAGTGCAGCAGTTCTCAGTGGGGGACCATTTGGAGATATTTTTGGTTGTCACAGTGGGGGTGAGGGGTGGTGGTACCGGCATCCAGTAGGAAGAGCCTAGCAGTGCTGCGGAACATCTGATGTTCAGGACAGTCCCTCTCAGCACAGGATTCTGCAGCCCCAAATCTCCTAGTGCTGAGACTGACACCCTGCTCTTCTGAGCCAGCTTCCTGGTTTTCTTTTTCTATAGGAAACAGAAAACAGGCTGCCTGCCTTTCTTTGTTATTCATATCGGTGCTCTCCTCCCTTGAAAACTCTGTGGATTATAAGCCTCCTTCCCTAGCAGATTTTTCCTTGCTGTCCATGCCCTTAAAAAAAAACCTGCTTTATCAAAATATTAATTCATATACCATATAGTTTACCTAAAGTGTAAAATTCAGTGGTTCTTGCAATCATCACCACAGTCGATTTCAGAACATTTTCATCACCCCCCAAGAGAAACCTCTTATTCATCAGTTACTCCTCCATTTCCCCCAATCCTCACTCTGATCCCCCAGCCCTAGGCAGCCACTAATTTACTTTACATTGCCATAAATTCACCTATTCTGGACATTTCATATAAATTGAATCATAAATAAGTGGTCTTCTGTGCTGGCCTCTTTCACTTAGCATCATGTTTTCAAGTTTCATCCATGTTGTAGCATGTATCACTACTTCATTCCTTTTTATTGCTGAGTAATATTCCATTATATGGATATATCACATTTTGTTTATCCATTCACCTGTTGATGGACAATTGGGTTGTTAAGAATAATGATGCTATGAACGTGTGTGTACATATTTTTGTGTGTACCTATGTTTTCAGTGTTCTTGGGCATATTCCTAGAAGTGGAATTGCTTTGGTCATATGGTAACTCTGTGTCTCACATTTTGAGGAACTACCAGACTGTCTTCCGAAGTGGCTGCACCATTTCACAGTCCCACCAGCCATGTATGAAGTTTCCAATTTTTCTACTTCATTGTCAACACTTACTATGTCCATCTCTTTAATTTTAGCCATCCTCGTGGGTGTAAAGGGGTAGCTCATTGTTTTGTTTCATTTTGCTTCTCTAATGATTCCCTAATGTGGAGCATCTTTTCAAGCACTTAGTGGGCATTTGTTTATCTTCCTTGGAGAATTGCCTATTCAAATCCATTGCCCATTTTAAGTTGGGTTGTCTTTTTTTATTGTTGGGTTCTATTAGTTCTTTATATGTTATAGATAAAAGTCCTGTATTAGATACACGATTTCAAAATATTTTCTCCATTTGTGTGGGTTGTCTTTTTACTTTCTTGATTGTGTCCTTTAAAGCTCAGAAGCTTTGAATTTTGATGAAATCCAGTTTACCTTTTTTTTGTGCTTTCTGTGTCGTATCTAGGAAATCATTGCTTAATTCATGGTCATGAAGATACACTCCTAAGTTTTCTTCTAAGATTTTTACAATTTTAGCTCTTACGTTTATGTCTGTGATCCACTTTAATTTTTGTATATGGTATGAGGTAGGGATCCAGTATTACTCTTTTGCAAACCTAGATATCCCAGCCATTTGTTGAAAGGACTCTTCTTTCCCCCACTGAATTGTCTTGGTGCCTTTGTCTACCCTTTTACTCTTGAAAATGGATTTCACCAATCTTCTGGGAAGGGCTTTGTCTGTAGTAAGGTCAAACTGTGGTGAAGAATTTAATTATTACAACACAAGAGTGTACAGAGTGTTATGACAGTAAAGGGAAGACTCCAATTCAGTCTCTGGGGAAGAGGAGAAAAACTTTAGAGGCAAATGTCACTGCAGTGTCCTTGAAAAAGAAGTGAACGCAGGTAGTGTGGGTGGAGTTCTGGGCAGAGCAAGTAGCACATACAAAGGCTAAGAGGCAGTTGAAGCCAGTCATCCCAGTGGGTGGATAACGTTGCTTACTCTCTCTGCCCTACCATTCCCCAAAGACCATGGGACATTCTCTTCCATGGGCAGAAAGCACTAAGCCTTGAAATCATCTTAGGTTAGTCTCCTTAAGAGTCAAACCAAGACATTGTGGTCCTCTGTGCCCAGGGGTCTCTGGGAAAGCATATAAACCAACTCACAAAAGGGCCTGAGCCAGGTTGAGTTCAAAAAGATGTAAGTCAAATATTGTATTAGTTTGAGTGCCTTCAATTTCCCAGATTCCCCTGAAGAAACTGGGTTCCTACACTTTCCTTTTAAGGGGAAATATAGTCCTGTAGTAGAAAGCACATGAACTGTGGAGAGTCACGCCTAAGTCCAATCCTGGTTTGGCCACTGCTAGTGAAAAGACCTTGGACAACTCCCGTAAGTTCTCTGAACCTCAGTGCCCCTCCTAAGCAGGGACACTAACAAAGGGATCTTGAGAGGACTAACTGAAAATGTCTGGCAGCTAACTGGAGTAAGGGTGTTATAAACACTCGCTCCCTCTCGTCTCTGGAGCTCTTACCCCATCCCACAGTTGGTGCAGGGGGAGTGGGCTGCTCTCCTGGGAGAAGTGTAATGACTGAACTAAGGCTGCTGTGTTTTGCTGGTGCTGCTGACCCCAAGGCTGGGGAGGTCACTGTTGAACCTTTTCCTGATCTTAGGGCAGTGGTTGAGTGTAGTTTTTGACAGAAATATGAAGTGTGCTTGGTGAGTAGGGAGTAGGTTATAGGAAGAATATAGCACAGTTGGAATAGCATGTTATTTTATTGTAGAACATGGCTTTTATACTTTCTGAACGTGTGCTTGTGAACAGAAACACTCACGTGATTTCTGGTCTGCGTTTACGTTGGAATGCAACCAGCCGTGCCTGATTCAGCCTTCTGCTAATCTGCAAATAGCAAGGTTCACACCCGCCCTTGTCCTGTGTACTGCTTAGTAACAGGGCGCAGAGGAAGCACAAGGTAGTGTTGAAAGTCCTCTGTTGCCACAAGCTGATGACACTGTGGCTTAGCCCTAAACTTTAGGCACAGTGGACCCCTGCTCTGCGCTGGTCTGAGAGGCCTTGAGTAGCTCCGAAGTCCATCACTCTTCTCCAGAATTTGACAGCTGTGATTGTCGCTGTTACGTTCTCTGTATGCGGGTCCCTCAGACAACATGGTTGGAACGAGTAAGACCAGAATGAGTCTGAACCTTGTTCTGGCGTGTGTCTGTGATGATGTGGCACAAAATTACCGTGAACAGGGGCTCAGTTACCTCCCAGCTCTGGTTCCTAAGCAAAAGTTGTTTCATTCCTGCTTTTTTTCCCTTCTTCTTCACGTGAGCCTGTGAAATACAAGCCTCTGCTGGGTGCTGAGGAAGTAAATGAAACAGAAACGATCCCCACCTTCAAGGAGTTCATAATCTAACAGGGAGCTATATGTACTTGTGAGAAGTGGGATGTCACGAGATACACTGCTAGTAGTCCTTGGAGGCACGGAGTAGAATCTGAGGCTTCCCCGGGGGGCTGGCTTTGGAGCTGGGCCTTTCTTGATTGTATCTTTCAAACTTTCATGAAAATTAGTCTTACTGGAATCTTGAATTAAGGACGGAAGAACACATCTGGGCTAAGTTCAGTTATTTCACAAGCTCTAATAAAGAACATTGGCCTCTGAGTCAGAAGACCTGGGTTCTAGTTGAAGTTTTGCTATGAACTTACTCTGTGATCTTAAGCAAGACATGTGACCTCTCGGGACCACAATTTCCTTGTTTGCTAATCGGGTACAGTTGGGAAGAGGTAATTTCCGTGGCCCTTCCTAGTTCTACAATCCCTTTCTGTCTTTGCTTCGAACTAAGACATCACAAGAATGAAATGCAGTGGAATGAAAAGTGAAACGGCATTAGAGCAAGTTATGGATGTCGCCAACAGAGAAGCAGTTACCAGCTGCCATGTCAGCACACGTTAGAGTGAAAGGGGCATCTCTGGACTTTAAAGGTTGGCTTATTTTTCAAGCAACAAAGGAAAAAAGGTTAAATTACATATTTCCTTCCTTCCCTACATCCAGTGGATTGTTCCTCACTTACGCCAGTGAACAAGGTGGCTGCCGGGCCTTCCGCGTCACTCTGCGGCCCTTGTCACGGGCAAGCTCTTCCTTCCGTTTCCCGCAGACTAGTTTTTGAAAACTCATAGCTCCCCTCAAACCTGAGTGCAGCCAGTTGTGCGTAACCCTGTCCTCTCACTCCATTCACACGATTGAGACTCTCAGGCATCAGCCATCTCAGTGTCTCTAATTCACCCACTTCCACACCCATTCTCCTCCTCAGACTCGCCCTCCTCTTGTAGGCCAGGCCCTCGCCTACGCTTTAGATCGCATCCTCACCTGTGCCCCCCGGGCCCTCGTCTGTCGGTCGCGAGCTGCCCGCGCGCCCTCTAATCGCCTTCCCCCCTCCCACTATGACCAGGCTCAAGACTTCTTCACACAAAGTAACAACAGAAAAAGGAAAAAGAAGCAGCTGTGTATCCCTCTTCCTGTTTACTGTTTTGGCCATGAGAATAGTATAACTAATGTACGTAAAAGGCACAAAGAATAACTTAACTGTGTCCCGTTACCCAGCTTAAGAAACAGAACATGACTAACACTGGGGCTTCCCGGGGACTCCCCTCACCCCACCCTGAGAAGCAGCCGGCATCCTGAGTTGTGTGTTTGGCATCCACTTGCTTCTGTGCGTACCACATACATTTACTAGGAGCACCACACACAGTCTTGCAAAATTTTAAACTTTGTATATGGTGCCAAAGCATGTGGAGCTTTTCCACGCCATCAGTAGCTAGTAAACACCTTTGATAATAGGTCTATTTATAGATGATTAAAAATAATTTTTCACGTTAAATTTATTTGAAAAGTTGTTATTGAACTCAGTTGCTACTTAAATGAAGTTTTCTTTGTCTAGAAAGGAATTTTGGTAGTTTAGTGCAATCAGACATTGTCAAAATCAGTTAAGTTTCTTGAAAAAAAAAACTGGAAAGACAATTGCTGACTCCATGTGGTCCTGCCTCCTCCCCACCCGACTGAAACTGTACTCACAGACGTCACCAGATGCCCTCCAGATGGTTTCTTCCAGGCTTACCTAACAGGCTGATTCTCCTCTGTAGTTGACACTATTATCTAGTCACTTCTCTTTGAGATGACCTAGTCCTTTGGCTTTTGTGACTCTTCTTTCGTGGTCTCTTCATCTTCCATAATCATCTTCCTCTCCTTTAGCACAAGCAGTGTCTGCTCCACTGTTCCTTTATATATCTTGCGAGAGCCCACCCACATCTGTGGTTCACTTCCCATGTGCATGCTGATGACTCTGTGACTCTTCCCATGTGCATGCTGATGACTCTGGCCCTGACCTCTACAGCTTTAGACACCTCAAAGTCATCTGTCCCAAACTGAAGTCGT